TTGTGCTTGGGGGTTAACAAATAGTTCTGTATCATTCACAAACCAAAACTGCGTTAAAGTGAAGTCAAGTTTGGGACCCTGTGTAAGGGTTTTAAGGGCAGAAGGACATTGTTGTTATGCAACCAAACTGGAATTAGGATTAAAAGGAAATCAGAAGATATAAACAAAAGCAAATTCAGAGACAAGGCACTCGGACAAAATTGGCTGTGGGCCGCAACTATCCATGCAATGCAGCTAGTGCTTTATTAAGTGAAACTGCTTTAGAAACATACACTAGAGTTTTTTTCTTTTTCTCAGGGTCAATCTGACCGGACAATCGCAGCAGAATGTTCTCCCCAGCTCTGCTTCCGACCAGAATGAATCAAATACAGTGCTCCTAATTTTCATGGTCATGAGAAGGTAATAAAACCAATAGTTATGCATTAGCAAGGGGTTACAAACTATCTCTTATGCACTCCTCTGGTCATGCTATACTACTCGTGTTTAATGTTAAACACACATGGCTTAATGGGTGCACATTAGTTAATAATCATAATGGTATCTGTGTTTTACAGAGTTCTTCAGGGGCTGTATGCCAAGTAATACTTGGTATTACTTGGCTGCTGGTAGCCATGTTTTAAAAAGTAGCTGTCATTAATTAGCAAGTGTAGACATGCGTTACTTCATAGCTACAGAGAACAGCATCAGTGAGTAGCTGAGTGCAGGCAGGCAGCTAAGCAGCGCTTGTCAACTCATCACTCCCTTGGAGAAAAGGGTGAGCAGCAAGATGAGAATGTTTGCTGACTACACAAAACTTCTTTAAGTTAGCAGGGGTGAGGGTCATCTGTAAAGAATTGTGGGTGACTAGTCAGTAGAAAGGTAGATTAAATACAGGGTAGATAAATGCAAGATGATGTATGTGCGGAAACCTAGTCCTGACTTTACATAAACAACAGCAATATTTGAATTGGTTGCTGCCACTTAGGAGTGAGACTTTGAGTATGTGTGGCCTACATAAACACCAGCTTGGTGTTTGGAAAAGCAAGGCACGTTTTAAGAAAAAGGACAGAGAACAAAACAGGGAACATATTTATGGCACTCCACAAATCTGCGGTAAGCTCGCACCATGAACACTATGCCTGGTTGTGTTTTCTGCTTCTTAGAAAGGAAATACTAGAACTGGAAAAGGATAACAAGGATGCTCCACTGTCTGGCTTCGTGTCCCTTGAAAGGAACAATTGAGTAGGCTTGGAGTTTTCACTCGAAAAAAAATACTTAGGGAGGATATGCCTGAGGCCTGTCACTTCCTAAGTAACTTGGAGAGCGTGGATGGCAATTGACTTTTTGGGTACAAACCATCAGATTTGCAGTAGGTGGGAGCCAGGCTCTAAACAAACAAGAGGAGATGGTTCTTCGCACAGTGACATGGGGGTGGATGTGTGCAGTGCCTTTCTGAATGGCATGCTGGGTACAGGGTGTTTCGCTGGGGTGCAGGGGAGATTGGCCAAGTGTTTGGAAGAGGGCTGTGTTGAGCGTTAGTGAACAAACACCCCCTCAGGCTCAGGAAATCCCTAGAGCTGAAAGCAGTTGGAGGCTGTAGGAGTGTTGCAAAGGAGGTATCGTATATTTGCCTTGTTTTTCCTCTTCCTTTGATGTTTGTCTGTGGCCTGTGGTGGAAACAGGACGTTGGACTGAATGGCTTCTTCATCCGAGGCAGTATGCCTCTTCCTCTGTATTGACGGAGAATCATGCTGTAACTGATACTTAAACACCTGGAGCCAAATAATAGCAAGTAAGCCTGTGTGATGGGGTCTTTCAAAGCAGACTCAATGTTCATCTATACCGGGAGTTACTTACAGAGCAGCTGCTGTGCTGTATATTTCCATTTTGCCTCATGATACACTTACTTCTGTGTGTCCACAAAGTCTTAATAGCAATCTGCATAGTTGCATTGCAGTTGCGTACCTACAACCAAACCATCTTTTTGTCCTTCCTCAGTAAAAGTATTTGTTCTATGAGAAACAGATCTAACGAAGTCTTACTTTTCTATGGGTTTGTCTTTTGAAGGGAGTGGCTGTGGAGAAAAATCTCTTGACTGCTCTCGCCCCTCTCCCCCTCTCTCTCTCCCCCCCTCTCTCTCGGTTTGACGGTTCAGATGGTAGCATCAATTTTAGCCACATTTGAATTCTGTAGCCAGCAACTGACCAGCCAATACACACAGGCTGTTGGCTGCTGCCTCTTAGCATGACTAAGGCATTGGATTTCGTCCAATGACTTCAAATGCTTTTATGGGAGAGAACAGTTCAATGGTATCCTTAGAGATGTAAGGCAAAAAATACCATGCCCTTTGCGATTATATTTCCATCGGGTTTTTAGTTTGATACACCCATTTCATACGTTACCTTAAATAAATAAATGGCAAAGTATTGCTGGCTTCTTGGTGAAAAAGAAGCATGTGACCTACAAAAAACGAAGGGAACTTGTTAAAACCGGAGAGTGCACCTGCTTGGATTTGTATGTTCTCTTTCTGAATTCACCTATGCCATAGCTCATGGATCAGAGATACGCAATGAATCATCCTGTTGGACAGAATGGGACACGCAGAGTAAATTAAGTTTGTCATCTCTCTCTGAGATTTTCTCATTTGCTCACTACCTGTAGGAGGGGATTTTCATAGTAATGTGACCTGTCTTCACGCTCCATTTATCATCTCCCAATTGATGTATATAATCTTGGTTGAACAGATAGATAATGGAGGAAACACGTAAAGTGTTGAATGCTTGAGCAACAGATCTGAAAAGAACAGGTAGGCAAGAATTGAAGTGCAAATGTTTAAAGACAAAAATTGGCATTCTTCCCTGACAGGAGATCTTAATGCAAGTTTGTTATTATTTTCTTGTTACAGAAGATGACAGAATGTGAAATTACAATGTAAATCTCTTCTATTTGCTAGCATTGTACATGACTTTTCTGTTTTATTACTTTTACTGAATAGGACTTTAATATGTTTGCTTATAATATCAATAGAAAACACTGGTTTCACATCTGTGAACAGGAAAATGTCAAGGCATGATGAAAAAATGCTGCTTTTTACTGTTTCAGAGATCGCCACAAAGCTGACTGCACACTTTTGTTGTTGATTTCCAGAAAGAAATTCTCTTTCACTCTTTTACCAGGAAAATCATCTTTCTCTTCCCTGCACATAAAGCATGGGAAACTGTGGCAAAACAACAAACATGTTCTATAACTGCAGCATAGCAGCCTTTGACAATTTGATATCTTCAATACAAAGAATAAAAACTTTGTAGGAAAGTAGGAAGCTATGTGTTTTTTTCTGAAACTAAGGTACTGGGAGGTTTTTCTTGCCCCACCAATGGCTGGTAGAGGAGATGCTGTGGAAATGGGTTTGAAGGCCTGTCTCAACTATCATGAAGTCAAACTCTTCAGGTTTTCGGGGGGGGGGGGTGCGGGACGAGGACGGTTCCAAATGTGCAAGACTTGTCATGTGGAGGGATATTCGCATATCACGTAAAAGGGATGTGTGCATTGGCAGATTTTTTTCCCTCTCTCAATATTCCTATCTGGCCAGTTATTTAATCTGTGCAGGAACCTTTCCTGTAGCAACTTAAAAACATTAAGAAACTTTGCCTAATGCTTTAGTCACTTTTTCTTTCTATTAAGAGGATCTTGGTCATTTCTGAGACAGAAAATCAGTACATCATCTATTATACTGATCTCTGAGACATGTGATCTAGCTGTATTGATGGTGAAAGGCTCCAGAGCATTCCGGAGACAAGTGTAAAATTCTGGTCTTCCTGAAGTATTTAAGGAGATTGAGAATGTAAGTATTTAAAAAGAAATTCTTCAAATTTCTGCTTTATATCATTCAATGTATTATACCTTTTTTTTTTTTTAAACCATACCATAAAGAGATTCTTTTTATGGTTGCTTCCAAGTCAGCCTGACTTGTTCCTGTGTGCAGAGTAGCTGGAACAGAAAACCATAAAACAGCTGACAAAGTCTGCTGTAGCAAGAAAATCACGTCCCAGTTACCAGGATTTAAGCAAGATGTGTCTCTTCCGGTACTTGCAAATCTCTGCAAAACATTTTGATGCCGTTGTCCACAGGTTTGATCAGATCTCTCTCCAGAATTCGGTTGCCTAATGTTAGCTGCAAACGTGTGATGAGAAGTTCATCTCACAGTGCGGGCCGCATGCACCTCCAGGCCCCTGTCCTGCTCTTCAGGACGGACGCCACCAGGAACCGTGGCCAGTTCAGTGTGTTGAAGCACAGGAGGAGAAGGAGGATGTGG